CAGCAGTTCATTTGGTACGTAATGAGTGTTTTCGAATTTAGAAAAGTAGCGACCTATTTCGTCATTATCGATCCATTTCGGAGTTGTTAAGGATATAGCGCCTAAAATAAAAAACACAAATAAAAAATATATTAATAATAACTAATATAAACTAAATAAATAAAATAATGTAATAAAAAAAATAACATAACTAAAATAAACAAAATAATTAAATTGAAATAAAAAGCAAGATAAACAAAACTAAAATATTATTCTACATTTTGTGTAGAAATATATATAAGCTGAGCTCATAGAATAAACAAATATATTTTAAAATGACGCGTTTAATGATATTCATACCTTCTTCCACGTAACATATTTCATTACCGTCACTAAGAATTGCGTAATATATCTGTTGCTCTGTAGCACTATAATTAATGTAGGTCTTCGACGGCGAAACAAAGTGCGAGCAGTTTTTGGAGAACTGTTGTTGGAGAGATATATCTTTGTTTAAATTTATATATATACAGTGCGAGCAGCTTTTGGAGCACTGTTGTTGGAGAGATATATCTTTGTTTAAATTTATATATATACAGTGCGAGCAGCTTTTGGAGCACTGTTGTTGGAGAGATATATCTTTGTTTAAATTTATATATATACAGTGCGAGCAGCTTTTGGAGCACTGTTGTTGGAGAGATATATCTTTGTGTAAATTTATATCTATAAGGTGGACCGACTATCACGCCGGTAGAATTATCTGCAGATTGATTGTTTTTGGAGAACTGTTGTTGGAGAGATATATCTTTGTTTAAATTTATATATATACAGTGCGAGCAGCTTTTGGAGCACTGTTGTTGGAGAGATATATCTTTGTGTAAATTTATATCTATAAGGTGGACCGACTATCACGCCGGTAGAATTATCTGCAGATTGATTGTTTTTGGAGAACTGTTGTTGGAGAGATATATCTTTGTTTAAATTTATATATATACAGTGCGAGCAGCTTTTGGAGCACTGTTGTTGGAGAGATATATCTTTGTGTAAATTTATATCTATAAGGTGGACCGACTATCACGCCGGTAGAATTATCTGCAGATTGATTGTTTTTGGAGAACTGTTGAAGTGCATGTATATGTATGAGAAGAATAAAAATATCGAAAGATTCAAATAATTTCAAATCTAATATTATTCTTACTATTTTGGTTGCCAAAACATTGAAAGAAAAATACTACGTCTCTTTATATTGTATATATTTCCACGATCTTCACCAATATCGCAACGTAGACCAAGTCTCCTGGCCACACTCTGATATATTATAAATAAAATTATTCCTTCACCAATTTTATTTTCTAAGACCTGTGTCAGAAATTACGATACAGAAATTAATTAAAATATTTTTGAGAAATAACAAATATATGATCACAATCATAGCATAATTTGATCATATTTTTATAATGTTTTATAATCTATACTACTTACATAATCTATACATCTGTATTCCACTTTTACGTTTCTAGACTTTGGTAGTCGAAAGTTTAATTCGTCAAATATATATTCTTCGAGTGTATCCATAATCTGCGTTCCTTCTGCTTCGTTCCAATGATTATCGTAGATATTATTGTCTTTCCAATAGGAAAAATATTTGGTGGACGTCAAAAATATCGAATGGTTGGGATATTTATCTCTAAGACAATTCAATACTTCTAATGCAATACTATCGAGTGATGCTTTTACGCGCGAGTAAGATACATTCTTTCGAGGTTGAAACCATTGTGCCGCAATAGTAGCAATCTGTTCCGTAAGCTGCTGTTTGACCGGATGTTCATAAATTCTGTTTCGTTCCATCTCCAGCAAATAATTCCTCAGATAGTATAACAGTTTTACATTGCTATATCTTTTTGCCAGATCGCAATTAGCTGTTCTGAAAAATTTACATTTTAATTGTTCAATAAGTAAGTTAATCTATGAGGTTAATATAGCACATTAATTTATATTAAATCTTACTGGAGTAAAGGTTGAGTAAGCAAATTCCTAATCTCATCAATATGGAATAACATTTTTATGTCATTTCCAAACTTATACATTTTTCGCATTATAAATTTATCTATATAATTATCTATTAAAGTAAATTCAGTTAAATTACTGATCTTAGTACGTTGATCTAGTATATGATACACGGAATTCAATTGTCTCATACAATTAATGCCTGTTTCTATAAAGTTTTTATCCTTTTGCTCGTTTTCTGATCGAGACACTTTTTGCTCATTTTCTTTAGATTGCTTGTCATAATATTTTTTTGCAGTAGGCCATCTAAAATTAAAAATGTTTTAAACTGTTTCTAAAATAAAAAAAAATATTTAACTACATTTTTAAAAATTACATTAAATAGTGCTATTGCATTAATAATAAATTTTTAAAGGAATAAATTTTTTAAATTGCGTAATGTACGGAATTAGTCAAAATATCTTTATTTTTTGTTTTAATACTAAATTTATACAGTATATAATCTTCAATTTTTTAATTTATAATTAAACTTTACGCGGTAAGTCCGACCTAATCCCAATTTTGATGAAATTTTATAGACACGTAGCACTTACTAAATGTAAACTTTATAGCATTCGACTACATTTAGTACAGGTTACATGCCTATAAAATTTCATCAAAATCGGGCCTGAATTAGATACCAAACTTCAGCCCTTTACGATAACAATATACAATAGTAAATACAATAAACATAGAAGTATTTACATTTATAACCTTATTACGTAATTATAACAAATTACTTAACTTTTATACGTTATCTATATTTATAAAATATCAATTTACCAAATTAATTAATAATATAATTAAATAAAGTAATTAAATAAATAAAATAAAAATATTAAAATATAGTAATTATATTAATAAAACATTATTTTATAAAATAAAAAAAGTTTTAA